CCTTTTAAAATTCACTCCATTGCCCTGACCGGTTTGGCTCAGTGGATAGAGCTGCATCGGCCTGCGCACTGAGGAGTCTCAGGTTCGATTCCGGCCAAGGGCATGTACCTTGGTTGCGGGCACATCCCCAGTAGGAGGTATGCAGGAGGCAGCTGATGGATGTTTCTCTCTCATCGATGTTTCTAACTCTCTATCTCTCTCCCTTCCTCTCTGTAAAAAATCAATAAAATATATTTTTTTAAAAAAAGACTTGAACTTGGCATACATTTAAGAGCTAAAATTCAGACCCTTTCAACTATGCATTTATATTAAATTATGCATACAAGTCAGTCCTAGGTTGGGCAGACTCTCCAGTGATTCTCTCCCTTGGTGTCAGAACCAACAGATGAGTTGTGGGGAGCTGTGCAGTGTGCGCTGGGTCATTGGTTACTCATTAAGCTAAAGTACTGAAGCTAGTGAATTATTTTCTTCATTGCAAATTAGGGGAAACACAAGATTACTTCTGTAATAAATCCACTCTCACATGCCTTAGCAAAACAAATAAAAATAGAAAGCATGGTGCTCTGACCTGGTGACTCAGTTGGTTGAAGCATCATCCCGTACACCTGGGTCAGGGCATATACCTAGGTTGCTAGTTCAACCCCCAGTCAGAGGACATACATGAGGCAACCGATTGATGTGATGTTTCTCTCTCACATCAATATTTTTCTCTTTTTCCTTTCCTCTCTCTCTAAAATTAACAATATATCCTTGGACACTGGCCAGTGTGGCTTATTTGGGTGAGCATCATCCCATGAACCTAGAAGTCGCCAGTTCAGTTCCTGGTCAGGGCCCATGCCCAGGTTGTAGGCTCAATCCCCAGTGGCGGTGAGGGGGACGGGACTGTGCAGGAGGCATCCTAACGATGTTACCCCCTCTCATATTCATGTTTCTCTCTCTCCCTTCTCTTTAAATTAAAAAAAAAACATATTTAAAAAGTGAAAATAAAAATATATCCTATGGTTAGGATTAACAAAAAAGAAAACATGGTAGCATTAAGGTGGGGGAAAAAAGGACAGGAATTTCTAACTGATCAGCTAGCAGTTTTTGAGATGGCTGAGAACTGCCTGATGGATCAGTGAGATCATCTTAAAGAAACACTCGTAATGACTTGAAAAAGTCCCCATCCCAAAGTCAATTATAGGCACTCAGTATTACAGATTTACCTGAATTTAAAGTTACATTAAAAACCCATTTTATTAAGGTAAGAGAAGAATCCATTTTAAGTTATCACTCTAGAGCTGTCAGATAAAGATATTACATTACCTTTAGTGATCAGTGAAATCATCTTAAAGAAACACTCTTAATGACTTGAAAAAGTCCCCATCCCAAAGTCAATTATAGGCACTCAGTATTACAGATTTACCTGAATTTAAAGTTACATTAAAAACCCGTTTTATTAAGGTAAGAGAAGAATCCATTTTAAGTTATCACTCTAAAGCTGTAAGATAAAGATATTACATTACCTTTAGTGTTTAATTTTACTACCACACTAATACATACACATTTTTTAAATTTCTGGGGTTTCTAGTTGTTTGCTTATATGTTCTTATTTTTGGCTATTGAACATGTGTGTTCCAATGAAGGAAATGCTTTTTTATTACACACATTAAAACTATTCCCAATCTTATTCCCCACAGATGAACTGTTTTCACTATCTTCATGACTCATCCTGCCCACATAGATTGATATTCACATTTTATAATCTGTAATTTTCTTTCTTAGTATTATATCATGGAATATTTTTCTGTATTTCCACATAGTTATTGGATCTTTTTAATGACTGCAAAATGTTCTATCACAGTCACCTACATTTAAATGGTTTGACTTTAACCATTTGTTCCTCGTTCTGTGATCAGTAGTCACAATCAAAGATGACAACATTATTCTTCATTATGAGTTACTTATATTTCAGACACACTCACAGGTGGAGCCAAAACGCCTTAGTTAATTGGTACCCATTAACTCTCCATTAATATGTCTTCATTTTTCTATTTCTAACGTGGATTACGTAGACTACCATGCAGGTTTGCTAAAGGCCCCTGTGTTTTTCTTCATGGAAACAGTCATGGGGGAGAGTGGCAGCGGCACAGCGCCTCTAGGCTGTCAGCGTGCCCTCTACAACCACCGCAGCACCTCCCCTAATGTCAACCCGGCCATCCGGACGCAGGGATATCTCCAGTTCTCCTCCTCGGCAGGAACACTGAAAGGCTGGACAAAACAAAACAGATCACAAATTAAGAGAATTTCCGCCCTTTTTAATGAACAGCATATAGTGAGACACCTCTTATTACAAGTTCTAGAATCCTCCTAGGTCAGCTTAAAGATAAATGCTTTAAAGATAAAGTTCTTTCAAGATAAAATCTGTCCATGGTACTGCCCAGCCCAACCGGTTCTCCTAAGGAGAGAAGGGCCACAAATGCACTTTCATGTGCAAAACACACAGCTCCAGGTCTCCCCTTCCTGAGCTACTTCCTCGATCACCTCCTGTAATGCCCAGGCTCGCCCCACCCACAGCCTCCTCCCTGGCTCTGTCTAGGAGAAAGCCAGGACATGTGAAAAGATAGATGCAGGAACTAGATGTCTAGGAAGATAAAGAGGGGTGGTCTTGGCCTTCCTGAGAAGGCCCCGTCTTTCCAGGCCTGAATAAGACAAAGGGAGCTCATTCATTCATTCATTTATTCATTCATTGTGGTTACCAAGCAACCACACTGTCAGGCAGACAAGAGGCAGGTCTCAGCCTTCCTGGAGCTCAGTGCTTAGGGGAGTAACTAGTCTCACCTAAGAGGAGCCACCTGCTCTCCCCAAATCAGGCTCACAGAGGCCTAACCCTCCCACTAAGCAAGACCTCTAGGGTTGGACTCCTAATTTGATTATTAGGGCTACGTAGCCTCCATTGTCTGAGGTCTATGTTCTCTGCCCCTGAGAAGGATATTTAGAGTAGAGAGGTCAGGGTGAAGGAATTTAAAAACCTTTCATTTTCACGTGGGTGACACAAAACATATCTTCACGTGCATAGTACATTAGAGAAGGAATCCTAGTTTAAGATTAGGCTTTTTTTTTTTTAATTGAAAAAGAGCTGTTTTACCACGCATATCTTTCTTCCCCAGTTCTTGGGACCAGTAGCTGCTGAGAACAGTGTGTGCAGACCCTTAAAAGAAATGAGAAGTTATGATACCGCACAAGGGAAACAGGGGCGACTTTGTGGTAAATTTATAAGCAATTGCAATCAACCAGTTAGTCGTTGTGTCGGCATGGCCACAGCAGAGTGTGGAATTACGAATGGAGATAGAAAGGAAGGCACAGAACGTGTGGATAAGCGCCTCCAAATGATGCATTTGCAATCTTCACACTTTCTGAAGGCTGAATTAAACTGCGGGTTTTCATTCTTGTCCTGTCCACACGTTACTGTCAGCCCGTGGCAGGAAAAACAAGTCCTTCACTTAAATCTACATCCTTCAAGAGAGACCATCTGCTTGCTCCCAGGATGCACGTGCAAGGAAAGGTGGGAACTATGACAAAATCCAAAATTTCCATCAAGCACACATTCCCAGATTTTAGTGGCAAAGGAACTGTCTTTCAGTGAGGTATTTTTTTTAGATGATTGTGCCCAAGGTTTAGATCAGAGAATGGGTAGTAAAATGAAGAAGGAACAAGCTGTAAAGGAATAACTGTCAGAAAAGTCTGTGGGGCAGAAAAGGCTGGGGTGGGAAGGGCCCCCCCTTCAGGAAAACTTACTCAATGTTACGGGAGGTCCACACGGTGTGACCAACCATCCCGGTTTGCCTGAGACTGTCCTGTTTTAGCACCGAAGGCCCTGTATGCTGAAAAATCTCTCAGTTTTAAGCAAACTGAGATGGCTGGTCATCACTGTCCAAAGACCTTTCCACTGTAGAAAAGCATTGTTGTAGGGGAAAAACTTGCCTTCTGTGCCAATTAAAATCTTTGTAAAGCAGCTGTGCATGTGTACATCCACTCAGAACTTCTATTCCATGGGGAAAGGCTTGAGTTGGACTGTTTGGATGTCATTTGGGCATTTTCCTGACATCCAAAAAGTGCTTGCTTACTGAGCTTTGAATTTCACATGTTTTGTTCCTCAGAGAGCAACTCAGTCATCCCAGCCCCTGCCATCTGACCAGAACAGTCTGCCCAGCCTCCTTCTGCCCTGGCCACCATCCCATGTGCCAGCCTCCTCATGGCCCCCTTTTGCTGCTCAGCCCACTCTTCGCACTGTGATAAGTACTTGACTGGCCTTGGATTTGCATAACCCTATGGGATATTACCTGTATTTTATAGAGGAGGGGATGGAAACGTTTAAAAGTGAAGCCCTGGCAGGTGTGGCTCAGTTGGTTGGGCATCGTCTCATGCACGGAAAGGTTGCTGGTTCAATTCCCGGTCAGGGCACATGCCCGGGTTGCAGGCTCAATTGCCCGGTGGGGTGTGTAGGAGGCAGCTGATCAATGTTTCATGATCACATTGATGTTTCTCTCCCTCTCTTCCCCTCCCCTTCCACCCTCTCTAAAAGTCAATCAAAAATCTTTTTGAAAAAATAAGTTAAGCCATTTGCCCAAGGTCAACAGCTAGAAAGCTAGGATGCAAACCAAGGCTGTCTGACACTAAGGTTTAACCCTGCTATACTGCTTCTTTTTTATTGAGGGGGGTGTGGTGAGGGGTAAGGATATTTTCCCATTGATTTTTAGACAGTGGAAAAGAGGGAGAGGGAAGGGGGAACATCAATACGAGAGAGACACATCAATTGGTTGCCTCCTGCACCTTCCCCAACCAGAGCCAGGGATCGAACCTGCAACCCAGGTACTTGCCCTTGACTGGGAATGAAACCCAAGACCGTTAGGTGCACAGGCTGACACTCTAACCATTGAGCACACTGGCCAGGGCTGTACTGCTTCCTTAATTCTGTATTTTTACGTGAAGGGATGGGGGAGGGGAGATAGGAAAACAAAGGCAGCTCAAAACCCAAGCAATCTGAAAGGTCACATGAAGGACACTTAAACAGCTATTTCTTATCCATCCCCTCCATTGTTTAACACCACCCCCCCCCCAGACCCATGTCAAAAAGTACCTGTTACCGGGTCTTCTGCGATGCCAACCCAGGGTGCGAAATATCTGGAGTAAAAGTCGAATGCGTGGGTCTGCCCACCGGGCTCTCCTTTAAGAGTGAGAATGAGTCCTCTCACCTTCTCGGTGTTCTCTACTTGCAGCAGATCCTGTGTATTCACTTTCAGGTTCTCCAGAAATGACCTTGTTCATAAATGGGATGGATTAGGACAAACCCCATTCCACAGACACCCCGCCACCACCACCACCACTACATGGACTCCATAAAGCAGGCCAGGGTGTGGCTGACCCACACGCATCAGCAGGGGCAGGAGGAGGAGCAAGTGGAATACCTTCCTACCCGAGAACAAAGCTCTCTGGCTGCAGAAATCATGGTTTGACTGGGCAGAGCACAGCCAGACCAAGCCAGGGCTATAGATGGGGGTGCTGGGCCCTCCCCAAAGTGCTGACGAAGCCAAAAATCTCATTCACCTGTCGTAAGTGTCACTGAGCCGGACAAGGAGCTTCCGGGTGTCTGGGGAGTAGCGGATGTCCTGGACCAGCGTGTCACCTATGGCAGTCTGTGAAGACAGACCAAAGACTTCTCAGGCATGTGCCCTGGGTCCAGTCCTTGATCCCCTGGGTGGGAAACGACCTTCCTGAACCTCTGCAGAGTGCCAGGCACACCCCTGGTCGCCAGTCCCCAAGTTTTAGTTTGGTTTCTGGGCTGAAGGTGTTGCCCAAGGAAAAGGTCAGTTTCCTGATGATTAAAGAGGTCTTTAAAGGAATTGAGCTTATCTTTTTCGAACCAAAGATAGACATTATTCCCAAGTGTTAATATGTGCCTGAACACACAACTCCTCAAATGGGTATTTTCCCCACAGATCAGAAGAAAGACTTAGAGAGGCTCAGGGTCACACACACATAATCTTGTTCATTTCCAACTAGAGGCCCAATGCGTGAAATTCATGCAAGAGTAGGCCTTCCTTCCCCCGGGTGCTGGCACTGGCTTCCCTCCAGCACCCAGGACCCGGGCTTCCCTTGCAGCCTGGCTTTTGTCCAGAAGGTCATCCAGAAGGACGTTTGGTCTAATCAGCATATTATGCATATATATATATATATCCCTAAAATACAAATAGACAGAATGGCGGAACAACTGAACAATCGGTCACTATGACGTGCGCTGACCACCAGGGGGCATGTGTGGAACATGGCAGGCCTGGGTCATGGCGACAGGGTGGAGCAGGTGAGCAGGGTGCCAGACCAAGGTGGGGCACTGGTCGCTGTCATTGGGTTAAGCCTGGTGGTTACTAAAATTTCTTTGCTCCCACGCATGCTGCGGTCCCACACAGTGCTCACACCCGCTGCCAGCACTGGAGTCACTGCTCTCACCCACTGCCAGTGCTGGCTCTGCTTGCACCCACAACCGGCACCTGAGCGTCGCTCATACCTGCTGTCAGTGTCTGGTGCCGATCACAATCACTTGGCGCCATCAGTGCCGGCCCCGCTGGCACCCGCTGCTGGTGCCGGCCCCAGTCACTCTGCTGGTAGATAGGGGACTAGGGGCTATGGCGGGAGGGGCCAAGACCCACCCCAGTGCCCACTGCAGCCATGTGGTCCACAATTCCTTTCAAGGTGCATGAGTTCGTGCACTGGGCCCCTAGTTACAGATAGCATTGTTTTGCTTGTTTGTTGGCTTGGGGTGCTGAGGGAATAGATGAGGGGACAAAAGCCCCTTTAAGCACTACCAGTGGCTGTGGGCAGAGTAGGTGACAATGGCGATGACAGAATAGTTGTCTGGCAGTCATTCGGTGGCTTCTGGTTTTCTAACTCTCTTTAGGGACTGAGCTGCTCCAGGTCCCAAGGCCAAGACTCTCTCCTCCTGGAGTGATGCCTGGGATGTCTGCCTCTGTGACCACAGCTAACAATGTCCCTCTCTCTAGAAACAAATGCCAGCAGCCAGATCCCACCTGCTCTCCGGGACCTTCCAGTCTCTCTGAAGGGTCATCCGGCCCTTCTCTGCATGGGTTCTATGGCAATAAGATTCCCAGCTGAGAAAGTTTAATTCTCAACTGGGAATCTTATTGCCAATTTCTAGGAACACAAAAGGACAGCCCATGATAAGATGAATAACCCTTTGTCATGCCCATTTTGCAAACACTGACCCTGAGGCTTAGAGAGGTCATGTTAAGTTCTTTCTGCCATGAACAAGGTAGAAAGAACTCTGAATATTTCCCATTTTCCTGCCATCTGCTTTACGTAGCTCTCCCCACCCTGCCATGGAGGCTAGTGCTGACAATGAAGGGCCAGGGGAAACTGGTCCATCTTCTCACCAAATAGATTCAGTATTACAGTTCAGACCTCAAACGCACTGTTCTGTTCATCCAAGCTTAGATTGGAACGCTGATACCGGTAGCAGGCCTGTCTTTGGGGATCAAATGGTACTGAATCTTTGTGTTCAAATACTAACAAGTGTTCAAGTAACATGAGCTCAGGCTTGATTCTTGTCACTAACCTTTATCAAGTCCTTTACTTCATGGCGGTCCTAGATGGGGAAAGAGACAAAACCGTTATAAAACGGGCACTCTGCCAGTTGTACACAGTTTATCAATTAGAAAGAGCTGACCTGGGGGTGGGCTGGGTAAAGAGGCAAGTCCAGGATGATACCATCCTCCGCTTTTCTGGCCTTTAGTTCCCCACTCAGCGTGACAAAGGTTAGAGTGCTGTTCACATTTTCTGGCAAAAAAAAAAAAAAAAGAGTCTTATTTTGTCGATCATAAAACTGTTAGAAAAGGAATCGTGAAATGGGAAAATAAACTTTGTTATATGCTTATAAGTCTCTTTCAGACACCGTTGTGTTGTCTCACTTTCTCTAACAGTGCTGCCCGCGTTTGGTTTGCTGGGGTCCACAGTGGGGCCCCTCACTGGATTCTAATTTGAGAACCAGGAACATAATTGGTTAGACTTGGCATCATGCTGCAAGGCTTCCAATCCCAGCTCCTTACTGCTTCCTAGCTATACCCTTGAGCAAATTATTTAACCTGCTTAAACCTCAATTTCCACATCAACAAAGTGCGGTAATAATTCAATCTATATCAGTTTTATTTTACCAATAAAATAGGGCAATAATTAAGCCTGCCTCATAGAAATGTTATGTTTTCTAATGCGATTTTAAAGTATTAACCTACAATTAGCATGGAATTATAAGCTCTACTAGTCAGTTTATAGATGACAAATAG